CCCCAAAACCCCAAAACCCCAAAACCCCAAAACCCCAGATGATTATCCCATTGTTGATTCAGATATTTATTTGAAATGCCTACTCTGCTGCATTTTAAACCATGTTATTTCTCTTGAATCAAGCAAGAGCTGGCTGAGAAAATTAGATAGCCTCGTTAGCCAATCGTCAAGCTTGAATTAGACATATCTTAGAGTTTATCATCCCTTTTAGAAATATTTATAGCCTCTAGTTGAAAGCTGCTGTCAAAGTATGGCCACCATACATAATGTACTTACTTCAACAAGTTCATCGAGCTAGAGTAAATCTAGCCTCCTTGAGTAATCCCTATCGGCTTCAGGTTGATTCTTTCACAGTAATGTAAGCTCCTTCGTGATGATCTCAACAAAAGGGCTAATAATATTTCTGTTTTTATAGCCTCCATCTTAAGAATTCAGCCGTCATATCAAATTCAGCCTATGAATCAGCAAGTTTAGATAGCTCTTTTGTCAAAATCTGTCTTTGTCCCTAAATCAGAGGATGCATACCTTATTATTGGACCCAGCCAGGTTTATAATTACACCTGAGAACGCCCAACTGTAGGGGTTACTTGATAGGCAAACCCTCAGTTTGTCTAGAAATTGTATTACATTTACACCGCTAAGTCCAATGTGAAAGTTCTCCGATTAAAATAAAGATAAGTGCTGAAGCCTACATCCATCTAGGATGCAGCACTGAGAAGCAGGCCTTGCTTTGTCAGCATCCAAAGTTGAACTTTAAATAAGATATGAGCGAGAGGGAGTCCATTCATCTATCAAACTAGGTTTATTAAGAAAAATTAGGTATAAAAATGCCAGCATCATAACAAGCGGGCTACTCTCATCAATGTTAATGATTAAGTTTGTGCTCTATAAGAATCTCAGAATTAAAAGTTCAAACTTTAGGCAGTCCATGCTTGAGTATAAGAGAACTCAATTATGCATCCTACGTCTCCGCTCTGGTTGAAAAATACTGATTTCCTAATTCAGGATGCTGAATTCTTAGATTCTGACAGCTTCAAATTTTCCAAACGATTAGGCAACTTTAGGGCATGTTCAAAGCCATATCCTCAGAAGTACATAGATAAGGCTTAAGAGCGGCCAATACTCTCCAAATTTAATCATCGCTGCAATAAGCCCGCATTCTTTCTGAGAAATTCATACATAATTATTCATAATAAGTTTGAAGCATCCAGATTTTTAGATCAGAAATAATCACCAAAACACAAAGTTGGAATATTGTGAATAAACCGCGGGATGGCTCGTTTGAGAGTAGCCGATCCTCGCCAGGCCCAGGTTAGTTGGATTCTTCCTTGGCTGATCTATGTTTACATACCATTGCCCGTGCATCAGGAGGACGAGCATGGCCAAGAATACGATATTTGCATCAAAGAATCTTTTCTTTAAGAATGTGGCTTAATTCTTACCCAAAATACAAAAAAACTAATAGAAGACCATCCATATGGAAATGAAGCTTTAGAGAAATAATAATGTCTTGACATAAATCTGGGACGATTGGGTGTGAGTCTCTTCTATAGGCTCAAGCACCAATAAATGGTAAAACCTCTTTAAGATGCCTTCCAAGCTATCTCAGACTGATATTCTCCACTAATTGACATTTACTCCTCTCCTTGTTGGATATATAGTGAGTCCTCTCAAGCTTAAAATTTTTTAACAGTACACCAGAATGGTGAATAGAAAACCATTTCACAATCCTAATAAATTATCGAAAAATACTTCAAGCCACATGGACTGGAAGACTGCTCTGTAGCCATTAGAAACTTCGCAGAACTTACCATGCACTCTAAAGTGGCTCTACATCGTCTGGGATAGATTCTTACTCTTGCCATCTTAATTCAGTGCTGACTATAGAAATGGTAGAGTCCATTACCTTAATAAAGATTTTACGAGAAAGTCACAACACCGACCTCAAAGAGAAGTCTGATAATCAACCAGGTGGTCATAAGATGGACCTGACACAGGAAATATTATTAGAGCTGAGGCATCCCAGCTGCCAAGGGATCTTCACCGAAAATATCCAAATCCTCATCACATAAAAACTGTATTTTTGGGATCAGATTTTCATGATATGGAAATTAGCAAGAACTTTATTAGAACTATTAACTTTGAAGCAAATCAGGCCCTAATTAGTATGAATAGATAATAAAGCAGCACACAGGTTTGATGGGACACTTATAAAGCTTCCTCTGGAACATTCTTCATACCAGTTAAGGTTAACTAGCTTAAGTCTTAGACTATATCTGTCCATTTAAAAGTATCCTTAATGTCCACATACGCTTTGGTAATTGGAAGCAATGATTATATACTTAAAGTGTAACACTGCGATTTCGCATACAATTAAGGCTATATTGCATCTTCTATGAAGCCATGGTAAATTTATTATACCCTAAAGACTAACACGTTCATTTCTACACTGTAATGAGGGGAGCTCAAAAGGGCAAGGATGTAATAAAGAGTCTCAGGAGAGTTCATTTAGACCTCATTCGAAGGACTCTGAACCAGACAGAATTTAATGTTAGCCCATATGGAATCAATTTTATATAAACTAAACAAAGCAAGTGATTAATCAGACTTGTAAAGAGGTCCAGCCCACCGCTCTAAATATTTTTCCTTAGTTTTAATTACTATCTTCAGAATTATGAAAACACTTCGACCACTTTTCACTAATTCTTAAAATTCAGATTAGTAGTATCTCCAAGAAGCGGGCTTCTTAACTCGGCCTCAGTTGTCTTGGCAATGGGACAAATATTGATTACCTAAAGTGTTAAAATATAAGGCATTCATAGTCTAAATTTTAAACTTTGCTCTTCAAACTTACTCTACTTTTAACCCATAAAATTAGATAGCTATTACATAGTACACTGACCGGCTTCAGACTTTCTGTATAGCCTGTGGTCTGTAAGCCAAGGAAAGCCATTCCCTGTCACTTTAGTCACTTCTGAATGGACAATAAATTGGCTAGGTTAGAGCTAACAGTTGTAAACTTAGTTTACATAAAGTGCCTAAAATAACTCATTTGATAAGAACCCTGGCCACCTGAATGAGTCCCGTTATTAGTATTAAAAAAGTTTATTAAATGATAAGGTTCGAAAAGTTCATTAGCAGGGCTGAGTGTCATTGATTTGGAAGCATCCAGCCAAGCCTCTAAAAATACAATGATATCTACCAATTTTTATTTAATGCTAGCCTATTCTTTACTAAAAGAGAGATTAAGGATCAGTCGAAGAAATTACGACTTTAAGTTGGGATGCCTATATAACAAGGAAAATTGTACGAACTTCATCGAGAGACTTTGGTCTGGCTCTATGACCAAATTTCCACCCATGCATTTATCTAAATATTCTTACTCCTTAATACTTGCTGGTGGTCATCAGTTAACCAATTTATCACAAGTCTAAGTTTTAATATCTGTCGATCATGGTAATAGAAGGGCAAATATTTCTAAGCTAGCAACCTAGCCTAGGGCCAAGTCATGCTGGGTGAACTACAAGAGAATGCTAAAATTTGGTTTATAATAACTTAGCTTTTTTCTTGACCTAAAAATTTACTAAGCCAAATAGGATACAAAATGGCGCATTTCAGGAATAAAAATGGCCGAATATTGTTACCAACCTTGTTCAATATTCATGGCTTTCTCAAATAATGCTACCTAGGCAAAATCTTAATGACTGATGTTAGCCATGAGCCTATTAGTACTATCAGCCTTTTTCTTTAAGAGTAAACTCAACCCAAAAACTTAGTGAAAGAAGATTTGTTAATAACTATTGATTAGGAAGGAAGCCTAACATTATTCCAGGGGATCGCTCATGGGATTTGTCTCAAGAATCTTCCTGAGAATGTCTACTCTAGGATCTTCCAACACCTGAGTCAAGTGAGCACACAATGTTCTGAAATTTTTGCATTTTAGGAGTTTGCGAATCCTTTTCATCGAGAAGGTTTGACAGCATCTATGGAACATTCCAATCTGGTTTTTAAGTTCAGGACCTCAGTCGAGTCTAGCTTTCCACTTTGGGTTAATAATTCCAATGGTATAGTAGAGAAGATCATCAGTGAGGTCATTTGCATCAAAGATTTCAGCAAGCATAGCCCTCATGCTGTCTCAGACTTCATCCATTTCACAGTTGACGAATCTCTTTTCAACGAGCTTATGGTTCTTGAACTTGAAGATATTTTTGAATAGTCTCTTAACCAACCTCAGAGCTGTCTTAAGCTTCACGTCTTTGCGACCAGAGCTGGACTCTCTGGTCCAGGAGAGCTCTTCATCTGCCGAGGAAACTGACTTCAAAGTTCCTAAAGTCTTCTCGCATTTTGGAATTGTGATCTTCTGAGCTTGAGAAGGTAGAACAACTTTGTCCAAATCTGGATTTTTAACGAGCTGACTTGTTCTTGTATTTTGTTTGATAACTTTTGGAGCATCAAAAATGCTCTCAGTCACTTGATTCTGAAGAGTTATTTCCTGTTGCTCAGATGCTTCAGTCGGAGAGGCTTGTTGCACAACTTTTCTGTCTCGATCATTTACTTTGGACTTTCTTAGATCTTTATTTGACTTATCCAATTCTTGATTAATTCAGGAAATATCCTACAAGAAATTAGGTGAGTCCATAAATCAAGCAAGCACTTAAAAATAATCAGGAATACTTCTGACCATATCCTGTACGCTGAAGATACCCAAAGAGTATATCCAAGAGCCTCATAAGAAGTGCGATACTTACCTCAATCAGGCAGTTGGAGTTTACATTCTCGAACACGCTTCCAGGGAACACCATCTGAGTTTCTGTGGCACAGAAATATCCAGATTCACTAACCTTGACAAATCCGTATTGATCTCTTTGGCTTGAAATCATTTTAATATTACTCTAATTATTATATACTCAACGGTTGATATATATTCAGGGGTTTTGGGGTTTTGGGGTTTTGGGG